GAGGTAGTTCTGGAATTCATGCCCCCAGCCAGCGCGATCGCCCGCGCGCCCGCGAGTCCCCTGACAACGTGGGGGATCGTGCCGTTTCTCCCAATAACGGGCCATGGTCAAGCGCATGCGCGCCTTCACTCGGAAAAGTACGGGCAATGAGCGCAGTGGGGCGGAGACCTGGCCCCTCTGCCTTAGCGACAATTACGATGATCGTCGGCCATTCTGCTGGAGTCTGCAGGTCTCTGTCCCGCGCAGCAAGCGCGCAGCATAGGCGCTCGAGGAAATCGCCGGGTGGGAGCAATCAGCTTCTCAGCTTGATGCCATCCACCCCCGAACCTGCTTCGCGTCGAATTTTTCCGGGTGCCAGACGGACCTGGTCAACCGAAGGGGGGCAAGTTTGAAGGGCCTCGCCGCGCGGGCCAGGGGCCCCGCGGCGATCGATGTCGCGCCTCGCGCACATTTCCTCCGATCCGCGCGCAGCCGCTGTCCAGCAACGTCTCCTTGCAGAGGCAACCCGTCTTGCGCGGCCGGAAGGGTCACGCGGGCTGCCTCCTCGACGCAGCGATGGGCGTGCATCTCGGGCCCGGGCTCTCCACCGCTGCCAACGGAGCCTGGTTTGCACCCTGGGAGCCCGCCCGGCGACGGCGCCCACGCTGCTCGCGACGCTGTCAGAATGGTCGCCGCCGAGAGACGCTGCCGCTGGAATGCCCCAGACGTCTCCTACCGCCCCCGTGTCATTGCCCGGAACGGCAGAGTCCAACTGGTGGATGCCGCGCAGTAGACCACCCATACAATATTCAGAACGTGAGAACGTTGGGCCCAGCCCAGAACCACCGGATTTCGCGGGCTCACCCCTGGGGGGAGTTCCACGCGCGGCCTGAAGGAGTCGCCCCTTCCTCTGGGCGCCGCGGCAGCCGCAGAAGGAGCTGTGCTTGGCGCCTGCGAAACTATCCTGCCCGCCCGCGGCATGGCGTATCAGATCGTTCACAGAAGTCGACGCAGTGGCATAGCTCGCCCTCCATCTTGGTGAGCCATTCCCCCAGAGAGGCCCCAGTTCAGCACCGCCTGTGTTGCCCAGCCCGCAAAGTCACTGGTGCTCGAGTCTCCCCGAGGAAACCAGCGCATGCCGCCGGCGGGAACGCTTGCTTTCCACGCCGCCCGCACATGGACAGGAAGACGAAGCGAGAAGCCTCGATGGATAAGCTGAGCGGGGGCATGCGGGTCGCACGGCGCAGCGTGAAGCGGCGCGCTACTTTTCACTGCCGACGCCAGGCCACGGGACACACATCAAATAATCCAAGCAGCGTGCCTTGCCGATACCACTGGAGAAAATGACCGCGTCAGGGGCAAAAACCAGTCCGTTGAGTAGCTGGATCCACTTCGCCAGTCCTGGCGTGTCGGGCGGCGCGTTTAAGTCGCCTGCCAGCGCCCGCGGCATCCTGCGGTTCTGCAAGTGTGCCTCCGGGTTCCTCAGGAGCTTCAGGTTGCCACCCTTGCGCCCCTGCCCGCCCTGCCCATGAAAGGCAATCCAGAGAAATCCAGAGGTGGCCACGGCGTCGATTTCCACGGCCGCCACTCGGCCTACCCCCGACAGACGCGGCCCGAAATCTTTCAGCAGGGCGGCTAGGGCTCCAGCACGGGACGCAACGGCAGCCGTGACTCCCGCCGAGGTGGCCAGCTGGCTGTCACCAATTCCCACCGCTGGGGCGAAGGCAGGCCCGGGGCCGCGCCGGAAGGCCTAGGCCGCAGCCCCTCTCCCGAGATTTCTCGAGCCGAGTCTCCGGCGCACTCCTGGCGCGCCCGCGCTGGGGTCCCCCAGCCATCTGCCACTCCAGCACGTCCTGATCAGGTGGCCGTCTGTTGGGGTCAACGGTGATGAACCTCCTGGTAGCGGGCCCGTCACGGGCCTGCCTCCTGCGCCACCTATGCCCGCTGGGGCGACTGGAGGTTCCTGATGAGGTCGGAGATGCCGATGGCCCGCTGCTGGAGGAGGTCTGGGCGCTCGCCTGGATCATTCGCGCGGCCTCGGTCTGGTTGCCCATGTGCATTGCGGACCTCCAGCTCGAAGTAGGCCCGACCAACGTGGGTCCGAAGTACAGTGGCCATTGATGGTAACGAATGCGCCCACGGGCCCACTCGCCTCGCGCCCTCGCGCCGATGTCCCTGGCCAGCTGCAGTCCGGCAGCAATGGGGCATCCACCGAGCTGGCGAGCAACTGTCCCCACCGGCGCGGTGAATGCTGCATCTCCCAACCGCCGGAAATTCCACCTCATCGTGGCGCGCGGGGCTGGGCGCATCCAGGCGGAGGAAAGAGCACGGGCCGCGCGAAGAAACTGTGGTTCCCCTCGCCGGGCACGGTCAAGCACCTCGGGGCCGCCCTCGGCCGCGACCTCGCTCCCTGACCCCGCGTTAAACTCCCTAGCCGTGCCACTGGCATATCGTCGAAGTTCTCCGGAAGTCACGCCTCTAGGTCGGGGGGGAGCTACGCCGTCAGCGCGGCGTCTGCGAAGAGCCCCCCTTCCCGACATCGGTCGACACATTGAACCCCCCTTGTCACGCACCTGACGCCTGGTCGACAACCCCCAGATGTCATGCTCCAGATGTTCCCGTCCAGCAAGAAATGCTCCCCGTCGGCGAAATCGGCGCACTAGGATTCGCCCTCAGAGAGCGAGTCGGGACCATCGGACCGCTCGCGGCTGCCGTAGCAGGACATGTTGCCATCGGACAGGGTCCCGTCACTGGCGAATGTGGAGTAGCAGGTCGTGGCGTCGCCCAGGCCACTGGAGCAGCCAGGGAAACCGTCGCTGCGTGCTTCCCGTCGACATCGCAGCTGACCTCGCTGTTCAAGGCGAGGCCGAAATTGAAATCCAGGGATACATGGGCAATCTCGGTCCTGGGAGCGCGGCCCATGCCACAGCCGTAGGCGTTGGAATCGGCCTCATAGTTCGAAGTCGCCTAGGGTGTCGGAGAGCGTCCGATCAGGAACTCATAAAGGCCACGCAGTCCCCTTCGACCGACACTTGCGACTCTGAGTCTATCCCTGGCTCTAGATCAAGACTGCAAGACTGCTGATGCTTATGCTGGCCCTCCCAACAAACATCAGATCCATGCTCCCGCGAAGGACTGCAATAGCTGGCCTCATCCACGATCGACGGAGTAGCGGTCCAAACTGAGGCCCCCAACTGCGTGCCGTAGGTGTGGTACTGTTTCATGTTGCCCCTGTGGCGGCGCAACCTTGGCCCCCGCAGGCCCCGTGCTCGAAGCAGCGAGCTTGGCCTTGGCAACTGCCACAATTGGGGGGTTGGCAGTCCCCCGCTGCGTTGACCTCCACAGGCGCTGCTCCACCATCGACTCCTGTCGGCTGGGCTGGCGGGGCCGAGGGCGGGGCTCTCGGAGTCCCTGCTGGCTGGCCCGTGGTTGCTCCTGGCGCCTCAGACTTCGTGCGACTGCGTTTGGCCTTGAGGCGCTCCTTCTGCTTGCCTTGCTCCTCCTTGATGGCCGCTTCCTTCTTAGCCACCTAGCCAAATTAACTCTTGGCCGGCTCCGTAAACTGCCGTTGTGGCTCGTCTTTCCTACGCTGGGCCTCGGCCTTGTCCATGTCGGTGATGACGTCATCCATCATCCAGTTTGAGCGTTTGCCCCTCGAGGAAGGCTGCAGGGTTGGTGGTGGGGATGGTTGGGGCCGACTTTGCCACCTCGCCATCCTCGGCCGCCATAAAGGTGGCGAGGCGTCGGACGGCTGTTTGATAGAGCGCTCTCGTCAAGTCGACCTCCTTCCAGGCAGACTCCACCCAGGACTGGGTGTATCTGTACTGCCTCTCGACCTGACGCGTGAGGGACGCCTCTGCCTGTTTGACCCTCTGCGTGGCCTGCCCCACCGACATGCTGGCCTCCTCGTTGGCTCGGCGGACCTCATCGAGCTGCTTCTGATACTCGGCCGCACCTTTCTAGTCTCCCGACTTGGCGAGGAGCTCGGTGAGGGCAGCCAGCCGCTCCTCCTCGGTGGGCTCCACCTCCTGTTGGTCGTCATCCCCTGGTGCAGGTCCCATCCGAGAAGGTGACGCTGGGGGCGCGGCGAGAGGCGCTGGCAGCGAGGCCAGGCCCAGAGCGGTGCCATGGCCTCCAGGAGAGCGCCCACGAGGCCGACGAGCAGCACCACGATGGGACATGGACGACCTGAGACTGGAGGGGCGACTGGCGCTGCCTGCACCATCGACACCAGGAGATGTTCTTCGACCATGCCCATCAACTGCAGCGGACAAAATCACCATCGCCACCCATCGACACGGCCCTAGGGCGGATCTGCTACAGATGGCTGTAGAAAGCAGCGTGCCGGAGCGGAAAAAGAAGACCCATGGCCGCTCAAAGGCTCACCTTGAGCGTCGGACAGTAGAAGCCTGCTGGTGGGCGGCTCGCCTCGAACCAGCCTTCGGGCAGGCAAGCACGAAACCGCAACGCAACGGTTTCGCACTTAAGCAAACATGGCTCCAGATCCTTCTCCCTCCTCCTCCCTCCTCCTCCTTCCTCCTCCATCCTCCATCCTCCCTCCTCTCTCCATCTTCCCTCCTCCTCCTCCTCCTCCTCCTCCTCCTCTTCCTCTCCCGAATCCTCCTTCCTTCCTGCTCCTTCTCCTTCGTGTTCGTCCTCCTCGTCCTCTTCCTCCTCCTCCTCCTCCTCTTCCTCCTCCTCCTCCTCCTCCTCTTCCTCCCCCTCCCCTCCCCTCTACTCTCTCCTTCCTCTTCCTGCTTTTCTTCCTTATCATCCTCTCCTCCTCTTCCTCCTCCTCCTTCTCATCCTCTCCTCCTCCTCCTCCTCCTCCTCTCCCTCCTCCCTCCTCCTGCTCCTCCTCCTCCTCCTCCTCCTCGTCTCGTCCTCGTCCTCGTCCTCGTCCTCGTTCTCCTCCTCCCCCCCTCAATTCCTCCCTCTTTCCTCCTTCCTCCTCCCTCCTCCCTCCTCCCTCCTTCCTCCCCCTCCTCCGTCCTCCTCCCCTTTCTAGGGGGAGGGATCGCCCAATAGTCGGCCCGCGAGGGGAGCGAGCACCAGCCGGAAGACTCGGTCGCGGACGGCGCGCCGCACGCCGCCCTCGCCCCACCCGGTCAGCTCGGCGGGCTCCAGGCCGAGCCACCCCTGCAGCGCCTCCGCGTGTGCCTGGCAATGGCAAGGCAACTCCTCCTCCTCCTCCTCCTCCTCCTCCTCCTCCTCCTCAGCCGCCTCCTCCTTCACCTCCTCCTCCTCTTCCTCCTCCTCCTCCTCCCTCCTTCTCCCTCCTCCGCTCCTCCTCCCTCCTCCTCTTCCTCTTCCTCCTCTTCCTCCTCTTTCTCTTCCTCCTCCTCCTCCTCCTCCTCTTCCTCCTCAACCCCTCCCCTCTACTCTCTCCTTCCTCTTCCTGCTTTTCTTGTTCCTCCTCCTTTTCCTCCTGTTCCTCATTTTCCTCCTCCTCCTCCTCCTTTTCCTCCTCTTCCTCCCTCCTCCTTTCCTCCTCCTCCTCCTCCTCCACTCCTCCTCCTCCTCCTCCTGCTCCTCCTCATCCTCTTCCTCCTCCTCCTCTTCCTCCTCCTCCTCCTCCGCCTCCTCCTCCTCCTCCTCCTCCTCCTCCCTTCCCTCCTCCTCCTCCTCCTCCTCCGCCCTCCGCATTTGTTTGCGTCGTCACGGTAGTTGGCTGCGAATGCTGATGGGTCGTTGCTATTCCGATTGAACGTCGTATGTTTGGGTGGCTTTGGCACGGGTAGGTGTGTATCCGCGTGTACTGCGTCCTTCAACTTGAAACTCTTGGTAATCGTGGGTGGAACAGTGAATGTCGATAGAGGTGTTGCCCGTGGGCCAGGTCGGAGTGGTGGATGTGGCCGTCTTGATGCGCGAGCACCTCATTGTTGTACTTGTTGGGGTAGATGTGGCATCCTTGGAATAGTGGGTCGTCATTATTGGGGAACCTGTACGTGTATGTGCTGGACAACTCGTGGTAATAAACCGCGTAGTGCCACCGGTCGTCGTAGCCGTCGGTGTGTCGATGGCGTGGTAGCAATATGCTGTCCATCAACTTGGAAAGGGCATGTCGTGATATTGGTTTGGTTTGAATGATGTGATACAGAATTCGTGTGTGTCTGAAGCTCCGTTCATTGTGGTTGTTTGAATGTTGCTGGTGGCGCGATGTGCCGTCCGCGATTGTCCGTTGCGCGCGTAGCCCATGGCGCGCGCAGTGTTGACGCACGTGAGGTGTGGAGTGAGTCGGCGAAGTAGTTTATGAGTGAGAGCAGCGCTGGGCCAAGAGCGACGTTTTGGCTTGAATCGGTCTTTGAATCATGAGGTAGAAGGCGTGCGCGTGTCTGAAACTCCGTTCATTTTCGTCGCACTCAATGCTTTTGTCGGAGTCTGTTGCGTCGTAGATCAAGCCGGGTATTCCTGCCAAGAGGTTGGTCTGTGTTTGGTTGCATGCCAGTGCGGTCGGGGTCTTTTGCGTGGGCGGCGTTGGTATTGGGGCTGGTGGAGGTGGCATATAATCGTAGCTGACCGCGGTGCCTTGTTTGGTTGCGTTTGTCCTTTTTGCGATAGATAGTGAGGCTGGGGATGCGCTGCTGCGGTGCTCGCATCTGCGTGTGCCCTGTAATTTTGTATCGATATCTTTCCAAGTGCTCGTAGTGTCCTTGTTCCAAACTGCATTGTGCTGCTAGCTGCTGTTGTGCGAAGTCGTAGTGCGCGTGGTCTGCTGGGATGCTGGCTGGGACCTTGAAGCCGCCCTTCGCGGCGATGTATTTGGGCGGCGTGAGTGAGAGATGTGGTCGTTGAGGGTGGGGTGGCACCATGGATGGTTGAGGTTGAATGTATGCGGGAGTGCGCGCGTGGCGGGCGGCGCGGTCGCTGGGGCGCGAGGTCTGCATGGGCGCAGGTAGCAAGTGGCAGACCATGCCTGGCCATCGTGGGCTGTCCGGCGTGGGCGCTGTTAGCTCGTCGTGGGTTGGTGGCGTGGGCCCTTGGCGGTGGTCTGGTTTGACGCGTGCTGTGCCAGTCCAATGGTTGAGTAGGTCGCATGTGCATGGCGTCGCCTCTTCTAACTCCACGTATTATGGTTGTTCGTGGGTTGCTGGTGGCGCAATGCGCCCCCCGTGATTGTCCGTTGCGCGCGTGGCCCATGGCGCGCTCAGTGCTGACGCGCGTGAGGTGTGGAGTGAGTCGGCGAAGTAGTTTGTGAGTGAGAGCAGCGCTGGGCCAAGAGCGACGTTTTGCCTTGAATCAGTCTTTGAATTATGAGGTAGAAGGCGTGCGCGTGTCTGAAACTCCGTTCATTTTCGTCGCACTCAATGCTTTTGTCGGAGTCTGTTGCGTCGTAGATCAAGCCGGGTATTCCTGCCAAGAGGTTGGTCTGTGTTTGGTTGCATGCTAGTGCGGTCGGGGTCTTTTGCGTGGGCGGCGTTGGTATTGGGGCTGGTGGAGGTGGCATATAATCGTAGCTGACCGCGGTGCCTTGTTTTGTTGCGTTTTCTCCTTTGTGCGATAGATAGCGAGGCTGGGGATGCGCTGCTACGGTGCTCGCATCTGCGCGTGCCCTGTCACTTGGTGTCGCTCTTTTTTTCCAAGTGCTCGTAGTGTCCTTGTTCCAGACCGCATTGTGCTGCTAGCTGCTGTTGTGCGAAGTCGTAGTGCGCGTGGTCTGCTGGGATGCTGGCTGGGAACTTGAAGCCGCCCTTCGCGGCGATGTATTTGGGCGGCGTGAGTGCGAGATGTGGTCGTTGAGGGTGGGGTGGCACCATGGGTGGTTGAGGTTGAATGTATGCGGGAGTGCGCGCGTGGCGGGCGGCGCGCTCGCTGGGGCGCAAGGTCTGCATGGGCGCAGGTAGCAAGTGGCAGACCATGCCTGGCCATCGTGGGCTGTCCGGCGTGGGCGCTGTTAGCTCGTTGTGGGTTGGTGGTACGGGTCCTTGGTGGTGGTCTGGTTTGACGCGTGTTGCGCCAGTCCAATGGTTGAGTAGGTCGCATGTGCATGGCACCGCCTCTTCTAACTCCACGTATTGTGGTTGTTCGTGGGTTGCTGGTGGCGCAATGCGCCCCCCGTGATTATCCGTTGCGCGCGTAGCCCATGGCGCGCGCAGTGTTGACGCACGTGAGGTGTGGAGTGAGTCGGCGAAGTAGTTTGTGAGTGAGAGTAGCGCTGAGCCAAGAGCGACGTTTTGCCTTGAATCAGTCTTTGAATTATGAGGTAGAAAGCGTGTGCGCGCCTGAAACTCCGTTCATTTTCGTCGCACTCAATGCTTGTGTCGGAGTCTGTTGCGTCGTAGATCAAGCCGGGTATTCCTGCCAAGAGGTTGGTCTGTGTTTGGTTGCATGCCAGTGCGGTCGGGGTCTTTTACGTGGGCGGCGTTGGTATTGGGGCTGGTGGAGGTGGCATATAATCGTAGCTGACCGCGGTGCCTTGTTTTGTTGCGTTTGCCCTTTTTGCGATAGATAGCGAAGCTGGGGATGCGCTGCTGCGGTGCTCGCATCTGCGCGTGCCCTGTCACTTGGTGTCGCTCTTTTTTCCAAGTGCTCGTAGTGTCCTTGTTCCAGACCGCATTGTGCTGCTAGCTGCTGTTGTGTGAAGTCGTAGTGCGCGTGGTCTGCTGGGATGCCGGCTGGGAACTTGAAGCCGCCCTTCGCGGCGATGTATCTGGGCGGCGTGAGTGCGAGATGTGGTCGTTGAGGGTGGGGTGGCACCATGGATGATTGAGGTCGAACGTACGCGGGAGTGCGCGCGTGGCGGGCGGCGCGCTCGCCGGGGCGCGAGGTCTGCATGGGCGCAGGTAGCAAGTGGCAGACCATGCCTGGCCATCGTGGGCTGTCCGGCGTGGGCGCTGTTAGCTCGCTGTGGGTTGGTGGCGCGGGTCCTCGGCGTGGTCTGGTTGACGCGTGCTGCGCCAGTCCAATGGTTGAGTAGGTCGCATGTGCGTGGCGTCGCCCCCTCTAACTCCACGTATTGTGGTTGTTCGTGGGTTGCTGGTGGCGCAATGCGCCCTCCGTGATTGTCCGTTGCGCGCGTAGCCCATGGCGCGCGCAGTGTTGACGCACGTGAGGTGTGGAGTGAGTCGGCGAAGTAGTTTGTGAGTGAGAGTAGCGCTGAGCCAAGAACAACGTTTTGCCTTGAATCGGTCTTTGAATTATGAGGTAGAAAGCGCGTGCGCGTCTGAAACTCCGTTCATTTTCGTCGCACTCAATGCTTTTGTCGGAGTCTGTTGCGTCGTAGATCAAGCCGGGTATTCCTGCCCAGGGGCTGGTCTTTTCTTGGTTACTTGCCAGTGCGGTCGGGGTCTTTTGCGTGGGCGGCGTTGCGTTGGTATTGGGGCTGGTGGAGGTGGCATATAATCGTAGCTGACCGCGGTGCCTTGTTTTGTTGCGTTTGCCCTTTTTGCGATAGATAGCGAAGCTGGGGATGCGCTGCTGCGGTGCTCGCATCTGCGCGTGCCCTGTCACTTGGTGTCGCTCTTTTTTCCGAGTGCTCGTAGTGTCCTTTTCCCAAACCGCATTTTGCCGCTACCTGCTGTTGCGCGAAGTCGTAGTGCGCGTGGTCTGCTGGGATGCCGGCTGGGAACTTGAAGCCGCCCTTCGCGGCGATGTATCTGGGCGGCGTGAGAAAGAGATGTGGTCGTTGAGGGTGGGGTAGCACCATGGACGATTGAGGTCGAACGTGCGCGGGAGTGCGCGCGTGGCGGGCGGCGCGCTCGCTGGGGCGCGAGGTCTGCGTGGGCGCAGGCAGCAAGTGGCAGACCATGCCTGGCCATCGTGGGCTGTCCGGCGCGGGCGCTGTTAGCTCGTTGTGGGTTGGTGGTGCGGGTCCTTGGCGGTGGTCTGGTTGACGCGTGCTGCGCCAGTCCAGTGGTTGAGTAGGTCGCAGTCGCATGGCGTCGCCTCTTCTAACTCCACGTACTGTGATTGTTGAAGGTTGCTGGTAGCGCAATGTGCCTCCTGTGCTTAGCTGTTGCGCATGCAGCCCATGGCGCGCGCAGTGTTGACGCACCTGAGGCATGGAGTGAGTCGGCGGAGTAGTTCGCGAGTGAGAGTAACTCTGAGCCAAGAACGGCGTTGTGGCTTGAATCTGTCTTTGAGCTCAAGAATGCGAATCGTTCGTAACCTGGTTCGTCGCGGTTGAACTTAGTTCGAATGCCGTAATCCTCGTCGAGCTG